GGCCCGGCCCGCAGCTCTGTTTTCTCCCCCGCAGGCACCTCGCGGTTTGCTCCAGCGGTTACGCAACACGCCCCGTTTTTTAAGGGAACGGCCGTTGTTAACGGAGAGTTCAAGGACCTGACCCTGGATGATTTCAAGGGGAAATACCTCGTTCTCTTCTTCTACCCCTTGGACTTGTGAGTGCGGGTTTCTCCCCTCTCAGATGGGCCTGCTGCCTTGCTGAAGGTCATCGCAAGTGCTGCAGATCGTTGCTGCCTGAAGTGGCTGGGTTTACTGTACTTGGGGGAGCCTTGCAAGGCAGACCTGTTTCTAGAGCTCGAGTGGTAAGCCTCGGGGACAAACGTCCATTGTGTTTCAAGGCAATGGATCTGCTGTCTGGAGAGCATCTTCTGGCTGCCAGGGCTGCTTCAGCAGGTGGATGTAGCCTTGCAGGTGTGGTTCCTCCTGGAGTCAGATCTCAGGGGTTGAGGGATCCCTTGCAGTTCGGGGTCACGTTGGAGACTCCCTGTTAAGCAGCGGGGCCAGCAGAACTGCAGGTAGATGCTCTCAAGCAAAAGGGGAATAAATAGATGGTGTTGAGCCTGCCCAGCAGACTTGGATGGCGAAGAGCATCCTGGTGTAGGTGAGCATGTGGAGGATTGAACCCAGCCCTTTCTGCTATAGTTTCCAAAGACTCTCTGTCTGGAGAGTGTCTAGCAGAGACAGTTTCTGCAACTCTGCAAAATACCTGTCCAGAACTGAGAGTTGAAAGTTGATGTGCCAGCTAGGTGGCTGTGGCTTTGAGACTGAAACTAATCTTGGAATGGAAATGTGGTTAAAATTACTGGGGGCTAATGAAAACACACTGCTGCATTAGTTTCTAGAAACAGACTGAGAGTCTTTTTTTCTATAAGATTCTCTGGAAAGATTGCAGAATCCTTACAGCCTGTTTTCTCTTCCCACCTAGCACCTTTGTCTGCCCCACAGAAATTGTGGCTTTCAGCAACAAAGCAAATGAATTTCGTGATGTGAACTGTGAAGTGGTGGCAGTTTCTGTGGATTCTCATTTTTGTCACCTGGCCTGGATAAATACACCACGAAAGGTAGGAACTGAGCAGCTGTTTGGGGCTTTCTCTGTTGGTTTGGTCTCTTTTCACAAGAGCTCCTGCAGAGAAGAGTTGAATAAACATTGTGCAAACACTGATTTCAATAGACTGCCTAAAGTGACATGTGAAGTGATTGACTTCTACATTTGATGACAGAATTTCGTCCTCAAGCTTTCTTTTCTTGCTCTTTTCTTTAATAATTTGGGCGTTTTCTCATCTTTGTTTTGCTCTCTTGATAGTCTTGTAGGTTACATCATATCCTTGTATGTTTATCGAGCTTAAGCTGCTCCTTAGAGCTGATGGCTTGTAACGGAAGATAACAGCAGCTGTTTAGTCACCGTTGTTATTCGGTACCTAACAGTGGTGGCTTCAGGCTGAAAGCAGAACAACCACCAGTTTATTGGAGCACTTGTATTAACTCTCACTTGCTGAAATGGTTCCACTTTTGCAATACAAAGAGGTTCTCTGCTTTCTTGAGGGGAAGAAAGTGACAAAGAAGGCCTTTTCCTGGAGAAGCCTCTTCCTGGAGAAGTGCCTTTCAGATGTATACAAGAATGCCCACTTGTGACCACATACAGCATCTCACTGGTCTGGTTGGTTATAGAGAAGCAAAAGTGTCGCAGGAAGGTGCAGAAGCTGCTGTGCCCTTGGTCACTACCTGTGTGGTGGTGTGGACAGCAGTTTGCAGTACTGCTCGTAGGCCGGGGTACGTGGCTTTGCAGTTGCAGCATACAGGAGAGGAGAAGAGTTTGCTGGATTTAATATGGCTTGGCTGAACCTTCTGAGAGCATTTGATTTTCTGCACGTTTTGTTCAAAGCAATAAATGTGATTACAGACTGACTGCAAAGCTGTTCAGCATATGCCAGTCAGGCACCGCTCAGTGCCCATACAGCAAAACGCCCTGCAAAGGGTGGAAAGAATTCCATGCTGGTGCAGACAGGAAACTGACACCCGGAGAAGCTGCGGCCTTGGTTTCTGACATCTGTGTGTAAGAACTCTGTTGTGGACAAGCATTTGCAGGACTGGGGGCTGAGCGACTAAGATTACACAATGATTCACTGATGATGCCAGGAGTAGAAAAAACTAACAAACTCTGGGCTGGTTTCAAGGGTAGAGCGCTTACCCCTCTTGCAGTTCCAGTATGTTGCAAAACTGAAAGAAATCTTGGTTGACTCTCCAAATAGTATTTAAATTGATTTGGGGGAGTTAAAAAAAAGAATGCACTAAACGGAGAAGGCAGAAGAACTCTGACATACCTAGCATGGCTGTTAGAAGCCTTGTGTTTTGTCTGTTTGTGGTATGCAGGTTTGTTTTCCTTCCCTCCCCACCATGTTCATCCTGTTTAATTCTGAACACTTAAATATGCAGTAGAAATTTTTGTATTCAAAGCTCCTGACTAAGGTACAAGAGAAGTATTTCTGAAACTGTATGACTGTGGTCATAGGTAGCCTTTTACCACTAAAATAAGCAATTTTGAAATGCTCAGTGCAGAAGTTTTCATCTTCCAAAGAAACCAAGTGTTCCCGACTAGTTTAAAAAAACCAAAACCACACACCACACCCTCCTGCCCCATGGCTCTTTCATGAAGCAAATGGCATGAGTGTGTTCTGTAGTTAGTGTACCATCGAGAGCACTGAATCCCAACGACTCAAGAAGGATAATCCTAAAAAGCGTTTTGTAACAAAATGGAATCTTTTCCGTAGAGCGGCGGTTTGGGCAAAATGAATATTCCAGTTCTGTCAGACCTCACAAAACAAATCTCCCGTGATTATGGCGTGCTGCTAGAGGGACCTGGCATAGCACTAAGGTAAGGCACGGTTGCCGATGATTCGGTTGTGACACAGCCCAGTCTAAACTGACGCAAGCTGTACTGTCCCCCTCCTCTGGGGGAAACCACGCAGGATCCAGGGAAGACTGTGAAATGTTACTTTTTCTGCAGAACTTCTGCTGGATCCCACCCTAGGAAAGGGGCACATATGTGGCCTTAATTGAGAATGGTTCCAGGCCTCTCTGAGAACACATGCGGGGGAAAGCCAGCTATTCTGCACTGCGTGAGGGGAAGAATTCTATGTCACTGAGGAAGATTAGGGTAGAGGAGCATTTTACAATTTTTCACATTTTTGCGTGCAGGGGAAAGCCAGCTATTCTGCACTGAGGGAGGGGGAGAATTCTATGTCACTGAGGAAGATGAGTAGGGTAGAAGAGCATTTTACAATTTTTCACATTTTTTTTCACAATTTAGATCTGTCCCTTTTTTTTTTTTCTCTTCTTTATTCTGAAATGAGAAGAAACTGCCTTAAGTTCTGTGTGAGAAGTTTCTAAAGCAGTAGTCCTAGAGGCCACTACAGCTATCATTATCTGGAATAAAAAAAAAATTCCTTCTCTACCATGGAAATACTTATTAAAAGCAAATAGTGGTCCCTGAAAACTACTGGATTGGTTAGGGGTCTTCTGGATACCTTTTGGTTCCTGATCCAAAGAGACTTTTTGATTTGTCAACAAACATTTTGATTTTTGACAAATCAAGTTAATTAGCATGGTAAGACTGAAACTTTGGTTTTCACAAATGTTTATATGCCTCACACTTTGTTTGTTGACAAATCAAGTTAATTAGCGTAGTAAGACTGGAAGTTTGGTTTTCACAAATGTTTATATGCAGCAGGATTTAACCTAGTAGCTTTATGTGTAGGCAACTTTTCACCTTTGGATTTTCATATCAAAAAGACGGGAAGGATGCCAGCTATCAACTTTGAAATATAGGTGGAATTAGAAGTTCTACCTTTGTTACACATCTGTCTCAATTTAGTACTCTTTATGCCTATTTTGGAATTTCACAGCACCATACCCACTGACTGGCTCTTGGCTTTTGATGACTGCACTAACCAACAATCTATCAAACACTCAAAACTCTGATTTGTGCACCTAAGAATACCTATCAAACACTCTGTTGCTACTCCTAACTCTGATTTGTGCACCTAAGAATAACAGCCTTGTTGAAATAGTTCATCCAGCTTCTTGTGTTTGGTCTCAGAAGGGTATTTGCATTCCCTTAAACTCTTGCTTAATTACAGAGGTCTCTTCATCATTGATCCAAATGGGATCATCAAGCATCTGAGTATCAATGATCTCCCCGTCGGTCGTAGCGTGGAAGAGACCCTCCGCTTGGTGAAAGCATTCCAGTACGTGGAAACCCATGGAGAGGTTTGCCCAGCAAACTGGACTCCAGACTCCCCTACGGTAAGCGTCTGCTAAATATTGCTTCTCTAAATATAGATGCTGGCATATTTTCACATGTCCAAAGGGCTGAGGACTGATTTAACGTTAGTTTTTATCAGTTGGACCAATTCAGTCTGTCTGTATGATACTAAATTTTTGAGTTCTGTGAAGAAAGTCACTGATTTTCTTTTAGAAGGCAGAGGTTGTATTGACTAAATTTGACTTGCACTCTCCAGCAGTTGTCTTCTGGTTTTTTTTTACTTATCTAATACCCTGTTTGATATTTAGCAGGAAAAACATGATATATACTTAAAATATGCATGTAGGACCTTGTCCATCATTCAGGCTTTCTTCTTTCAACTGAGTGCAGAAACAGAAATAACCTATTGTTTTTAGAAAGTATGCATGGATTTTCTTGGATAAACTATCAAATCTATAATTTTTTTTTTATCTTAGTTACAGCATGTAATAAATAAACTTTGTTTTCTTCACAGATCAAGCCAAGCCCAGAAGCTTCTAAAGAATATTTTGAGAAAGTGCATACATAAACACTGAAATATGTGGACAAAACTCATAATTATCATACACTGAAGACATTAAGAAAGCAGCTGCAATGATAAAAATAAATAAAAATCTAAGTTCTCATTTTCTGATGCTTAAAAAGAAATTAAATATTGAAATACATACTGACTCCCTTGTCTTGTTTTAAAAAGAAGGGTAAAACTAAGGCTTTTTCCCCCCTTTTACAACTTGTTTCATGAATTTCTGTGACCACTAGTTTTCTTCCTGAATCTGACAAGTACACAGAATACAGTTATATTCCACTGCAATTTTCTTCTTCCTGTAACTAGTTTTGGACCAGAAAGTGTCCTATGTTTTCTTTTCTCACATGAAGAATTAAGTTCTGCAACAAGAGTTTGAAACAATGGGGACAATACAGAAAATAGATTTTTAATACATGGTTTGTTTTCAATGATTTTTGGAGAGGAAAAGATGAATGTAATAAGTAACAAATCTTAAAAAAATCCATTTTTGTGTGTAAATGCACTAGAACTTGAATGTAAATTTATCCCCTTTTAATCCTGCATATAGTCAAAAGATGCAGTGCAGCTAATGCAGGGCTCTTAACAAGCACGAAGAACTTGCATTTTGCTTGGGAGATGGTAAAAAAAATTGAACCCAGATAGTACATATACTGAGCTCAATGACAGTCTTCGGCCATTTAAAGCATTGCTTATTTATTGCCTGAATGTCTCCAGGAAAAACTTCAAGGTGATATGTTGTACTGCTTGAAAACAATGTAGCATATCCTTAGCTATAATAATAAATCTTTATGTTGACTAGCAGCAGGTGTGTTGCTTTTTCTTGCACATTTTCACTCCAAGATTCCTGTTTCTCAGTTTTGAAGAAGTTGGGTAAGTTGTGTGGCATTAGAAACTCTCTCGTGTACCTTTGTTTACAGCAAGCAGGTGGCAGTGCCTGTACTGGGGTAAGCAGGCCGTCGTAAGTAGCGGGATGGATAAATCAGTACAATACTGGAGGGGTTTGTATTTTCACCTTCTGCCCTTTTCAGCAGGGGAAGGAAGTTGAGATACACAGAAGCATGTCAAAGCGGCTGTTGTTTCCTAACTTAGCTTTGTAACGGGTATCAAGTGCAAGGAAGAACATGCGAGCCTGATGTGCAATGCCCAGTGTTACTCCAGGTTTCAGTACCTGCAAATCTCTCTTCAGTCCCAGTAGTTTAGTTGTGTTTTGTGTAAATCCACTAGTACCCACGCCATTTTTCCACTAAACCTGATCTCCTGGACCTACCATACGTGAAGTGAAACCCCTGGGCAGCTCGGTAGTGCACAGTAACGTGTTTGTGGTGGTGGTGGCAGCTGTTTGTGCCCGCGAAACCGCAGGGCAGTGACACATTTATGTACGTGGCTGCACCCTCCTCTTACCTGAGTCGGTCCAAGTCAGCGCGAGGGCGCGGGGATTCTCTGCAGTCCTGCTCCTCCACTCTCCCTTCCCGGCTCACGGAGGGGGAAGCTGATGGAAGAGTTCCACGATGGAGTTTTCCATGATGGAAGAGGACCACTGTTTGCTTTTAGTAAGTATTCCCATGGTGAAGGAAATGTCAATTTTTACATTCCAGATAATTATAGCTGCAGTGGCCTCTAGGACTGCTGCTGTAGGAACTTCTCACGCAGGAATTCGGGCAGTCTCTTCTCATTGCAGAAGGAAGGAAACAAAAAAAAAAAATTAAAAAACAAAAAAAAGGAGAGTCCTAACCGCTGGAGAGAGGACGGAAGGCGATCGGACCCCTCCTCGCGGCGACCTGGCCCTGCCCTGAGGGCGCTGC